TACCATTAATCCTTTATAAAAGAATTAGGGTCAAATTAATATACTTCCAAAATTTTATGAGCTACGTGTTCACAAATATACTGTTGTTGTTGTTGACGTATGCCTGTTTAGGCAGGGGGGGGGCGATTGTTCTTGTTTTCCAGTGGCGCCATCTATAGCCAAGAATTCGACTTCTGCCACACCATACGTCACACCTGTTTATAGGGCGGACTCATTCATACATCCATTCATTCATCCACAGATCGTAATTTTGACCTGAATCAGAGAACGATTGATCTCCAATCCAGTACCCCCAGAGGTATTGATTTGTTATGGGAACATGGAGGACTTTTGCGACTCGACAGATTTAACGTGCATCAGTCACTTTATTACACGGGGAGTCTTCGGCCGGCGGGTTCGAACCCACGAACTCTCGGTCAGCTCCCTACCGACCAGGCTATCCCGGCTTACACAAATGTACTAAAAAACACAAAAGATTGAGCGAAATAAGAGAAACGAGCAACGTATTAGCGCATTAATCTACATTCATTAAAATGTCACTTACTTGCTTCTTCCACTGATCAATTTCGAAATTTCTTGAAGTACATTAAACAGTCGATAGGTAGCGCCAACTGTTAAAAACTACAAAATAGTGAAGGATATAGAGCTGAATCCTTCTTTGTTTCGAAAGAGATACGGCGGTTATCAAAGAGAATAAAGCGTTTTGACAACATCTTCTAGAAGTTTCTATTTATTATAATTCTGAAATTCACTAAAATGTCAAAAACATTTTCTTTTCGCTAAGTATTTTAACTATATAATATAACAGGCATGACGATTTAAGCATAATAATAATTTGTTGTAAATGCGTATGGATATATCTGTAATTTTTAATGAAAATAAAAGTAATACACATTTTTGAAAATTGAAGGAAAATTATTCAAACGTGTAACATTAAAAAAATAATAATAATAATAATGAGTACGATTTACTCACAAAATTAAGATTATCAGTTACTCCTCTACTACACTATAAAAAAATTTCTGATCCAATAAAATACCGGCACTCGTAATTTTTAATGTAATAATTAAAGTAAAATCACTGAATAACTCTAAAGAAATATTACTGTATAAATTACGGTATAATATTCTACGGTAAAAATGGATTTTACGGATGATGCACCCAAAGTGCCGGTGTTTCATGCCGTAATTTGAACCGGAATTTTTTTCAGTGTACTGTGTTATATTGATTTCTGAGAAATATCAATATTAATGTTGAAAATGCTAGTGCTCATGCTATGAGGACTGACATTTGAAATGTTAGTCCTTTCCTCCCCTTGGAGTTAGTCCGAAAGATTTGTTGGATATCATTATTGCTCACTTTAAACAGACAATTATTAGCATTCACTGATAATGAATAATCAATTTTCAGTAGAAAAGTTATTACCATTGTTCATAAATATGACGCTATTAAATTTACTGTTTATATTAATGGAATAGTTGTAAAAAACAATTCTTCTTTCGATTTTCTGCTTTTTACATTTAAGAAAAAAATTGGATTTTTTGAGGTCATTTTGTGGCTTTTACGATCTTATTGAAAATTTTCAGGGCTTTAAGAGTTTTTTCAGAAGTTTTGTAAACGGGTTTTGTTCAGAATGTAACAAAAGTTGCGGTTTTCACCGATACATTCACTAATTTAGGTTTTTATTCTAACATCAATACCTGGTTAATTCCCTTTGTCATCAAATTGACTGCGGTAGTTTTATGATTTTGTTCTCCATGTTAAGCAAATTCTGACCAGATCCTTTAAAAAGTTTCACACGATTTTTTTCACAATGCTTCCTTTGTTTTCTGGGTTGGGTCTAAAATTACAAGGCTACAGAGTTTAAATTTGAAAGTGGCAAATCCGCGATGGATCTGCTGTTCATTTCTCTTGTCTTCTGTGTTGGGTTAAAAATTTCACAACTACGGAGTTTAAGTTTGAAAACATCAAATCCTCGACGGATATGTTGTTCATTCCCCTTGTCTTCTGTGTTGGGTTTAAAATTACAAGACTGAGTTTAAATTTAAACGTGGCAAAATCGCAACTGATCTACTGCTCATTCCTGGATATAAAATAAAGATATCTCATTAGTGCTTTATATAAAAAAAAATTAAATGAATAAACAGATCAAAATAAATTAAATTAAAAATAAAAGAAACTATATTGCACCATATTATATCATAGTAAACTCAACTCAATCATTAAAAAAATTTCTATCGATTTAATTTACATTTAATATCAACATTTAAGTCATTATAACTTCATAAACTCTTTTTTTTTTATAAGTAAAATAACGGCTCATTGAAGATAGGCTTCGTAATCAAATAGTATGCCAAAATATTTAAGAAATCAAAGCAAAAAACCACCTATGTGTTTCTTACCCGTGGTGAAATGGTACACGCAATTTTTTTTAAACGAATTGAAAAAGAAGATGAATAATAATCATTTTCCCGTTCGCCAACAAATAACTCACTTAAATCAGTTTATTTTATTCATTTCTGTTTTGAATTAGAAATATTATAGGTCAAACATGGCGAGGAAAGTTTAGAAATGTCTGGAAAGTTTTGTGCTATTTTTCGATGTTCAAAGATACTACTGTGAGAAAAAGTTTAAGGTCAAACTTTTAATTTATAAAAGTTGTTAATACGAAATTAATTATTCCCAGTATTATTTGTTACAAATTGTAAATTAAAGTAATTTAACAATATGTTTCATAATTAAATTGGATTGAGCGTTGTTTTGGGAGAAATGATAAAAATGTTTACTTGATGCATCTAATTAAAAATTTTCATTTCAAGTGAAGAATGGTGATCAAAATTATGATTTTTTTTTATTTTTTTTTTATACATATTATCCTCTTAATAAGTTTGCATAGTATTGAGGTTTTTGTTCTATTGGTCACGACTCAAATATTATTGGAATTAATTGCATTGTTAATTGTTTTCTGAGAAATGATTAAATTATGACACTTATTAGACATAAAATGTTATAGTTCACAGTAACAATGGTGAAAAAAAATATGAAGTTTTTATCCTCTTTATAAGTTCGCACAGTTGTTTGTATAGTTGATAGTATTATAAGTTGTTCTATTGCTCACGACTCAAATATTTTTCAGAATGGAATACATGCAAGTGACGTAGTGTGGGTATCTCGATCCTGATTGGCTATTGTAACGTGGCATTTGTTTATGTTAGCAATTGTTCTTTCCATTCTGTTTCAAGTAAACCAAGCCCGTCAAGTATGAATTCTCTTGAATGATGCATTCTAAATTTCCTTTACAAAGATTCTTTCTCAAGGATTTCAACTCTTTCACAATAGTATATACTATTTACACAGAGATTTAACAAAAAGACAAGACCTGTAGAACATAAACAAACTAGTTATGCATCGAAGTTGCCATGTACATAAAACTAAAATATATCACGGTTACAATAAAGTACATAAACGAATTATAAATCTAAGTTAAGTAAAAGAATTAGACGAAAAAGAATTATATTTCAAAGAATTCGTTGCGCGATACGGTTCTGTATTTAATTAACTTATCATTAATTAACATTCTAACTTATGTAGAGAAACTTAGCTCAACTTTAAAACGCCATTTTGATGGTAAAGATTAGCTGGCACTTATGTCATTGGTCACATTAGTGGGTATAGGAGGTCCTCTTACAGTGCAAGTACCTAATTAAATGCATTGTTAATTGTTTTCTGAGAAATGATTAAATTATGGCGTTTATGTGAGAAATTTTTTTTGCAGTTTATGAGAACGATGGTGTTAATAATTACGCGGGTTTTTTTCTTCCGATTCGTAAGTTTTCTAAATAATACAGAGTTTTTTTTTCTACCCATTGAGCTATGACCAAAGCGTGGTTAGCTTCTAATTGTAAATTATCGGAGCTTTTCAAAAAATAAAATTTAAAACAACTATTAATCCTTTGACGTAAAATATTTATTAAACATATTTTTCATACTTTTATTCCTCAATTTTATCCCTTAATTAAGATGATTCTCCAACTCGTTAAACCAGTACAATTAAATATAACTTAAAAAATTACTTCTTAAACACAATAATAATAAGAAAATCTTTCATCAACGCATAACGAAAGCAACATATGTTATCCTCTAACAATCAAAGTTAATTAAAAAAAACTTTTGAAAAATTTTAATAATTTTTCATACAAGAATAAGAAATGTTTTTCCCCCCCCCCCCAATTATTTCTACATAACTGAATAAAACCAGATATATAAAATTTAAACAATAAAGTTATTAAGACATTTTTGAATTTTTTTTTCTGAAATAAGAATTAAAAAAAATTATTGAACTATTTTCGGATAAGTAATTAAAACAATATACTTTACTTCCCAGAAACATTAAAGTTAAATAAAAAATAACTTTAAAAAACTTTAATTTTATTTATAAAAGAACAAAGTAGTTTTTTTAAAATTACTACTGTATCACCCAATAAAACATTTCGAGTTTCGTTTAAACACTATTAATCGTATTGAAAAATCACATTAAAATTTTTATACATTTTTTTACAAAAAGAATGAAGAATTGAAAAAAAAATATAGTAATTGAATAAATCTTTAATATATAAAACAACATTTTGTTCCATCCATCTATTATTATACAATACAAATTAAATATAATTCAAATGTAATTTTAATCCAATAAAAGTAAAACTTATAAAAAGCAAATCTCCCACTCCTTCAACCTAATTTTTTCACCTATTATTTAAAAACAAGCTAATAAAAAAGAAATTAAAACATTAAGACACTATATTCAAATTTAAAAAACAACCTTGAATGACCACAAAGTAATCGTCATCAAAACACTAGTGGTCTACTTATTAAATCATTAAAAAAAAATTAAGTTCTTTCATCTTAATCAAGCATTCTTAACGCCTTGAAAATTCTGAAATATCTTCCCTTTCCTACAAATTTCTTCCCTTTCGTTCCATCTCAAAAAACCAGTTATTCTAACCAGCTCGCGTGTGACCTCCTCGAGTCGCGCAGCATCCCTTTTCCGCTCCTTGAGTCCAAGCGTAATCAGTATCTCTCAGGATGGCATGTTCAGCGGTCGCGCTCTCCGTGGCGACCGTCTCGGCTGTGGTCGCTCTCACATGTACCGCCATAGCTTTTGGAACGGACAATTGGTACGAAGTGAGAGTCAATCCTGATGGTAATGAGCGATTGGCTAGTCTCCAGGAATTTGAATCGGATCTCCGGTATTACAGTAGAGATGAAGGAATATTTAGGATATGTTTTCCGGATAAACGACCCAAAGGGGGTAAGTTTGATCTTTCCCCTTTTTAAATTTTTATAATTAAAATTCATCATTGAAACTTCCGCGGATAACGTGAGTTTGTGCTGCATATGATTTGTATTTACTGTGGTCTGTCGTATTGTTAGTTCCATTGCTGAAAATATTATATAATGAATAACATTTGATAGGCTTGGAACAGTGTAGTGATGAGTCGCATTTTTTCAAAAGGTGACATTTTTACACCAAATTGTTCCTATGTATTGTTTCTTGACAGATACATTACTGCACAATATACATATGCATTTTATTTCCAACATAAAAATCATGGTGATTTCCACTCAAAAACGCTCTTTGAAGAATTTTGTATTTATGTAATTATTGAAAATGTAGCTTTTTATTGTATTTCCGCAAGGTCTTCATTTCCTCTGCTAAAAATTATGCGGTTGTATGAGTGGCATTTAATCATTTAAATATTAATTATGCAGTCAAGACTTGTGAAAGGAAATATGTTTACTACGTTCAGAAAGAAAAACACGTTCAGAGAGAAAAACATTCGTTCAGAAAGAAAAACAGTAAAAAATAATTATTTAAAAAAAATCGTCCCTTTTTTATTAAATTATAAAAAGGATATAGCACATCATTGTGTTATAAATTTTTTTTTTAAAATATGGACTTGATTTAAAACTTAAAAACTCAAGTTTGAGAGAAAAAACAAGAAAGAAAACATGTTATTTGTAAGTAATTTCATTTATCTGTAAAATGTAAGAATGTTATCAACACATTCATTCAAAGTACCACGCTGAAATTTAAATGAAAAGATGCAGTCATCGTCGTCTTTAATTACAAAAACGTGATTTTTAACACAAATACCGGTATGCAGGAAACGAAAATTATACTGCCAACATGAAGGAGACGTGAAAAAAATTCTGAACGGGTTGGAATTCCCGGCGGGCAAGTAAATATTTAATCAAAAATACTATAAAATACCAATCAAGCGCTTCTCAAATGTTGAAGAAAATGGCCAAGATTCCAGAGGGGGGGGGAATAAATAGTACAAAAGGGAGGGGGGGGAGAGAATAAATTATATTTAATAGGGCGTAAATTTTATTGATTTCATTAATAATAATGAGAATTTATAAAGCAAATTCAGATTATTCTTTTTTATTTTCAGAGTAATACGTACTTAATTATATTAAAAACTTTTTGAACCCTAATTGCTGCGAATAAGAATTTAACTAATTTATTAGTCGGAAATTGCAATGTGAAAGTAAAGATGAAAATCATATCGTTCTTCGAAATCGGTTAAAAGCAGAACTGCCAAATGTGCTTAACATTTCTGATAATAATACTTTACTAATACATAATAATGCTTTGCATTGAACCATTAATGCTTATTCGTGTTTAATATTTCCCTGTTATCACTAATATCTTAAAATTAACTATAAAAAATTATAATAAAACCTATATTAATAAAAAAAACATTTTTACTCATGAAAATCGAATAATTTGAAAAACAAAGCAATGCGTCTAAAACAAACTATTAACATATAAATTTGCATAAAATTCATAGGGAAAAAAAAGTATTTTTACAATTGTATTTACTAAAACATTTTTCTAGCCAAAATTTAACTAATTAATTAAGCCTAAACAAATTCAACACTGCTAAAAACTGCTTACGAATAAATTTGAAAATTGAAAGACTACGATATCAATTAAGAGTTTTTTTTTTATCGAAAAGTATTTTATATAAAAGATTTTTATGTCAAAAAAAAAAAAATTCTAAGAGCATATACAATTTTTTGGAGCAATGAAAAGAGGATGATTTGTAGAAATATCCTTTAAACATTGGTGTGAGACATACAGAATGATTTGGAATTAACTTACTAGCTTTAATTCATAGTTACATCTTGTCCAATTAAAATATGGGTTTTTATGTGCTAGTAAGAATATTAAACTTATTAAAAGGCAAGACAAAAATATTTCAGAAAAAATTTTAAAAGTGTTAAATAATGACATATACATATAAAAATCACTTGGTACATTTTAAAATATATAATAATAATTGATAATGAATTTTAGAGTTAAAAAAATTAAAAATTTGGCATTAAAGGATTATTTTGAAAAATGAAATAAATTGAAAAATATTACTAAATTATTTATTTTATTTTTGCATACTGTAAAATAATGCTAATTTGATCAGATTTATGAGATTAAATGAATGAAATATGCGTTTTATAGTAATAAAAATAACAAGATGAAAAGCATGAGCCATTAAATTTGCAATGGTCATAAAAAAAGGCCAATTTTACGAATATGTCTGTATTAAATGCATATATTTAGAATACAGATATACAGCTGATAGAAATTACTTTGAAATCTTTAATGGATATATTGAAACTTATTTTAAATATTAAAATTAAATATATTAACTTAAATTTTTGAAATAAATATTAAACTATCATAGATACATTAAAATATAGTTCTTACAATTACCAAAATTTACTTGTAGATTTGTATATGTTTCGTTTTGGACAAAATTTAATGACGAAACCAAACTTTAATTCTAGCATATTGCGTTCTGTTAGATGGCGTTGGTCTTGAAAAGTTCAAATATACATGAATTTTAATGAATCATGTTACGAGTTTAAGTTTTTTCAGAAATAATAATTTTTATTCATTGAAAATTTCTAAGTTTGTACCTTCTGAAAGCAAAAGAGCTTGCCTATTTTACAACTGAATAGTCTTCAGAATCTTTTCTCAAAAGTTCAATGAACAATGATTTGTTATTTATGCGTCTTTTCAAAAAATATAGTTTATATTTAATAGGTATAATTTCAGTATATTTAATTGTTGTTATATCAAACGATGCGATTAATTACAGTTAATTATCGTTTCATAAACGATATTGCTATATCAAACATCAAACTATATGTTTTAAAAGTAAAATTGCATTCTTCAATTTATGAATATGTCGCATTCTTCCCATTAATTCGATGTTGTTGTAAAAGTAGTTATGTAAATTCAATCTTTAGACCGAAGGTTGTTCTTGGTGCTCACTTTTATTACATTATACTACATTACATTACATTATTTTATTACATTATAACTACACATTTCTAATTGATTGTATTAACATGATGCATTCAAATTTTGATATTTTATCGAAGGCAAAATATTGATTTGTCTAAAATGCTCTCATCCAATTAACTACTTTTAAAAAATTGAGCAATCAATCTGCCCTATGATAAACAACGCTTAAAAAGTTTCTATCTCACAAACGATTAAAAACCACAATGTTTATGAGATACATAAATAAAAATATAATATTTCACAAATAAAGTATTTATTTATTTAAAATTAATATTGCGTAGTTACATTTTTCACATACATATCAAACACAATCTTTTCCCAATTTAAATCAATTTCAATTTATGATTGAATATCTTTCCTGGTCAAAGACTTTCTTGATTATTATGATTAGCATAATCAGCAACGTTAGCTGTCAAAGTGCCATACAATATTACCACCTAATTAACATTATTACGACGAACAATTAATAAACACAAACTCTCTCCTCCATACAAAGACATGCAAACGAAATGAGATCAATATAGCCTTAAAGGCAGAACACTCATCCTCAGACCTCAGTCGATGACCCAAAACCACTTGAGTTAAGAGTGGACTCGATTGAACAATGAAACAGTGGATGAAAATAGGGACACACGAGAGGAACAAAATTAGAAACGGCACTCTTGTGAAATCACAGCGTGTGCCTCTTAGATACTACTCTTACTTTCAAAAATGGAATCTCTGCAAAATTTATTTAGACTCATTAACATTTTTAAATACCGTATCGCGTGATGGTGCATTAAAGAGCAAGCTTAACTACAATGACAGATTATTAATGTATTATATAATAATAAAATAAGATTTAATAATTTACAATACGCTAAGTCAATAGAATGTAGAAATTGTGAATGGAAATAGGAACACCAAAGAGGAACCAATTTAGAAACGGTAGGTACTGTTGAGAAATCACGGCGTGTTCCGTAACGAAAGTATTCTTACTTTAAAAAATAGAATCTGAAAACTTAATTTCGATTCATTAACATTCTTCAATACCGTATTGCATGATGATGATGCATTAAAGAACAAGCTTACAAGGGAAACTAGGGAAGTGTGACTCGCCAATTTTGAAATAAACTAGTGGGATGTATGCCTTATGAGGAATAATTTTAGGGGCAACATTCGTTTCGGCCCATAGAAGGTTCTGTGAGATATAAAAAATAATTCAATATATAGAAAAATCGGCATTTTATGACTTCAATGCAGACTATTAGTTACTATAATTGTCTCATACTCCAATTAATTTTGTGGTACTTTCACGCACTATATAGTGCATATTTATAGTCAAAATTGATTTCAAAAATTTTATATATCTGTAGCTTTTCATAAAAACCTGTTAGGTTAATTTAAAAATATAATTGACATCAAATTTTTAAAATTTTTTTTTCGAAAAACTTTCCAAATTATTTGAAGTATGTAATTTCAAATCAATTAATTAATTAATAATTAATCAACAATCAATTAATAATTTATCAACAATTAATTAATAATTAATTAATTTTTCGATTAATTTAATAATTAGCAAATTCATTCCAAATTAATTGGATTATGAGACTATTACAATAACTAATAGTCTGCATTGAAGTAATAAAACACCGATTTTTCTATATATTGAATTATTTTTTATCTCTCACAGGACCTTCTATGGGCCGAAACGAATGTTAATTAATTTATTAATTAGCAAATTAATTAATTATCCAATTAATTATAAATTAATTGGATTATGAGACAATTACAATAACTAATAGTCTGCATTGAAGTAATAAAATAC